GGTTTGTAGGGCTTCGTCATTTAGTTACTATCCATTCTTTTCCAGCAGAGCTGAGAGCACACCTCACACGGTTCAGATTTGGTGCCCCCAGATTCCAACCATATGGCTAGCAGAGGGATTGTTAAGTTTAACTTTCGTCTGCATCGTAATTTTCTTTCAGCATTTCTGCCTTCACTTCGTCTTGGTTTATCCCAGCTAATGCATTCTTTAGATCTCTTCATGCTTTGATGAGGTTAGAACCATTGTCACTGTGCATAGGGCGAGGAAGCTCAATGGTGTTAGCTACCTCCAAGTGAATAGCTCTTGTGACTAGGCATGTGAATAGTACTCTGTACCTCTAGATTTCCTTTTGTCATGTGCCAAGACCCACTTCACAGCATGAGAAAGGAGAGCTGGCTGTTGACCTATCTGCTGGGAGGTCAACCATTTTTGTACCCTTGCTCTGAGCCTCCTGCATGTGATGCAATCAAAGATTAGTTTGAAGAAAAATGAGCTACTGTCTATGATCCAGTAACCAGAGAAATGGATTTTGTTTAATGTAATTCGCTTTCCTTGATTTAGAGTCTTCTAATGAAAGAGTCAGCAAGCTTGCTGATATATCTCTGTCCTGGCAGGACAACGGGGTGCTTTATGTCTTGAGATACACTTGCTTGCTTGATGTGTTGGCTACATTGTCTCAATCTAGGAATGGGTGCAGATAGGAGAGAGGACTGACTCCTTTAGGTTCCTCTATCCTACACTCCGGATGTCTTCTCCAAGGGCTTCACACTTTGGATTCAAGGGTGTTGATTTTGTTATTTCTTCCTTGAAGGTTTCTTTTTGTCATGATTTCTTGTTCTGCTGTGCTTAATTCTTTTACGTTAGCCAAATTGTGCCTACATGCTACAGGCCATCTCTTCGCCTCTTTCATATTCGTCGATCTTTTATGACTCATGTCAGTTAGGATCCTTGGATACGGCTAGGGCATGCTTTGCTTTAGATCAGCTCAAGATATATTCCAGGCATTGAAGCTGGGTCACAGGGTCACACAGTTGCTGACATTGTTGATGAGATATGGGTTACTGAATACGAGGCACTTAATGCCTCAAGAGCAGTGCAGACCAGGAAGTCCACCGGCCCTGATGAAATACCCAACGTGGTCTTAAAGGTGTTTGCTCCTGAGCTCACCTCAGTTCTCGTGGATCTGTACAACGCTTCTCTTCGTGAAGGTTATCTCCCTTCCCTGCTCAAGCGTGCTATTGTGAGGCCCCTGCCGAAACAAACCCCTGCTAAGATGATAGAAGATGACACCAGGCCCATGTCGCTTACCTCCCAGATGGCGAAGCTTATGGAAGGGTTTACCTTAAGAAGAATCCTTCCGGATGTGATGTGCGAACTGGACCCGAAACAGTTCACAGTTGCTGGCAAGTCAACATGCCATGCAATTTGCTGCCTCCTTCACCTCGCCTACGAGACTCTGGACAGTGGGAACTGCTGGGTTAGGTTCTTCTTTGCGGATTTCTGAAAGGGCTTTGATCTGATAGATCATAACATTCTGTTAATGAAGCTTAAATCCCTTAATTTACACCCCTGCTCAGTTAAATGCCTAGCCGCCATTTTACTTGAGAGATCGTAATGTGTAAGGATATCTGATTCATCGTCTCCTTGTCTCCACCTTAACGGGGGAATTCCTCAAGGGACAAATTGGAGTCCACTTCTGTTCGCCATTATGGTCAATGAGCTAGTCAAAGATTGGGGCCCTAGAGGCAAATACATGGACGACCTCACAGTGATGGAGGTTGTTCCTCGGAACTCGCCGTCAGTCATGGATTACATTATAAATTCTATTCAGGCACTTGCCTCAGATAATAATGTCTCAACCCCAAGAAATGTAAATCTATGGCGCTATAATAGTGTCGTCTGCCCTCCCCTGGTAAGCAGCGGATCTGTAATTGAGTGAGTCAAGTCGTTTAAATTTCTTGGGGTTTATTTTTCAAGCGACTTGACATGGGGGGAGCACAGAGACTATATAGTTAAGAAGGCCAAGCACAGGCTATATGCCATCAGAACGCTCAAATGCTGTGGAGTGTCCCAAGCTGACATTTTCGGGGCGCACTGCACGCTCATTAGGCCTCTTCAGGAATATGCGACACCTACATTCACCAATCTTCCACAGTACTTGTTGCAGGCCCTAGAAGAGGTCCAGAGTCCGTTTACTAGGTAACACAAGAATTCCACTGTTTCTCAATTCCTCACAACAGGATGGAGACTTTGGTGCCAATGACAAACAGTACCTTGTTATCACAGGGTGAAACCTCACTCCAGTTGCACTGCTTGAAAACATTTTTTTATGTTGCTACCAAAATAACTCTATGAATGGAGTCATTCTAGCACTGGTTTCCCCCAGAATTGATGTCAGATCCTTGCTGAGCTCATGGCCAACCTCGATGATGGAATTCTTTATTTCAGCCTTCATCTCATTCAACTTTCGCTCAAGTTCTGCACACTTTAATCTTTGCATCTGGAGTGTGAGTTTAATTATCCCAGGTGGTGTTTGGGATACTGGAGAGTTGATGTGAGCAGGCTCTGATAATTTTTTCAGCTTTGATCTATTTGTTTTGTCGACTGCATGAGTATATTTGGAGCAAGACATACACAGCTAGTTACTGTCTTCACACAGAAGTTCACACCCTTAGCATGCCAGTACTGTTTACTTGGGAATGGTTCTTCTTCCTTCAAGTGATCCACAAACTTTGGAATGACATGCTGTATCACATCACTACATGTTGAAGGTTCAACACCAGGGCAAATAAAAAACCTCTCCATATCCTTGACAAGGTTAGAAAGAGACACATGGTTATAAACAGCAGTCACTCATGTGAGTGACTGCTGTAAGCTCTGTTGAGACAGTATCAAGGCAAGGAACAAATCGATCTTCAAATCATGTTAGAAGCCTTGTTCACATGAACAAATGGAGTGATGCAACACCGAATTACCTCGTGTGGGATATTGTAGTTAAATTCAAACCAGGTCTGGCATATGATCAAAAATGAAATATATGGGTAGTAATATATGGTTGTAAAGGGTATCATAACGACATACCGGTTGAATTTTGGGATAAGTGGTATTCGTTGTTCGATAGCAAACTGTACATTTATCCACCAATGTTTTTAAATAATGAACTGTCGTCGGCTAGGAATCCAATGACTAAGAAATACGTTGATATATTCAAACATCTTTGCAAACAAAACACTAAGGCAAGTAAAACAGAATTAACGAATGAAACAAAAAAGATTTGGTACAGAGGGAAACTAGCACATTATAATAAATCAAGAGTATTGTTTTACATTAATGGAACATCGGACTGTAAAAGCAAGGTGTCTCAGCTGTAATGTTGATTTCACATTGAATTCAAGCGATAACGGAAAACTAATAGTCAATAATTCTGGTTTGTACCTTGTCACATTCATCGATGGCGTAAAAAGTATACATTTGTTACATCTCAAGTTCGTTCTGGATAAACCATTCATGTCTACTAGCAATGGCGTTATGATTGTACTTCCAAACACTAAAAATTCTTGGGTAACAATAGCCAAGACAGCAATGTTATATTTCCAAGTAAACACATCGCTGACACTGGAGACAGATAATAGTAATATGATTCTCGATGGATTAGATTTCAGTTATATCATGATAGCCAAACAAGATTAATCTATCTAATATTTATATGATTGGGAAAAAGAAGGATATATTCAATTGGATTCAAATATCAAGTAAACTGACTGAAGACCAAATTGAAGAGTCAAAGACTTATTTTAAGGTTTATCATCGTAAATGTTGGGCTTATAAAAAGTTAATGAAACGATTAAAAAAATCAAGCTAATCGGTAACTCTGTCTCTAATGTTTGCAACAGGAAGTGTGGCTTCTGCTTTCGCTACAGGAGGTATTTCAGTAGTTGCAATATCAACAATCTCTGTTCTTATCCAGAGATTCGCGGCTCATAAAAACCTCGATTTAAATATTCAGAGTTGTACCTATGCTTACCAAAGCTATCAACACTTGTTCATAAGTATCAAAAATGCATTGAGAGGCGGTGAATGTGACATTGATTCGTTAGGACAAATGATGCGCTACGTCGATGACATAGTTACTGATCTAGCACCTGATGCTGATAAATTATAACGCCGTATTTCTTGATTGATGATTGAATTGATTTCATCTCCGACGAAATTTTGTATTTGAGCCCAATACTGCTCATATCATTCAATAGCCTTGTTTGATTTTGAAGTTTGTATTTTTTTTGGTGATAAATTCATCATATTAATTAGCTTACCAATGATAAACTTTTTCGATATCATTCGTTTACTTGTACTGTTTATTTGAGGTTGAACTTTTTTAATGAGATCAAAGACTTTTATAATTTTTTCGATTTGGTTTCTGGATATTTGAATGCGGGTTTCATCACAAACATCATAGATTACATTATCCACATGGTATTTTCTGATATAGACTGATTTTCTGCTGGATTTATACCGGTTTTCATAGAAATCAAAGAACTTGGTATTATGTTTGAAATATTTACCCGGGACTTGTCCACAATTAATACAAACAAAGAAACCATTTTTTTAAACGAATATTTTGATTCTCACAGCATGTTTCTTCAACGGGTTTATTTTCTTGGATAACTTCATCACAGAAAGGACAGTTATATCTTTCTACTTCTATTAAGGCATCATGTAATTCTTTATTACAATTCATACTTTTATAAGATGATTTGTTAGATTTGGTCTTGTGGTCTTTGGTTAGATTTTACAATTCAGTTTTGTTCATACTTTGCATGATCATTTTTTCAGATCATTTTCAAAAGATTCAAACACCCCAATTACTATACTACTCAAAAATCATTGTTAGCGACACGAAATAATAGCTTAGTCAATCAACTACTGAATGTACCAAAACAGGAAGACTTTTTTATGAGCACATGGAAACTTTCCACAACACTCTTCCCCCTTTGACCCGTCTATGAGTCAAGCATTAAGTTTGTTTTCCAACATGCGTCTACTGCTGCGGCGCGTCTCGGATTGCACCGCTGAGCAATTGGGTTCCCTTGAACACTTTCCCGCTGCGTGTCTATCTGGACATTGCTTTGCTTTACTTCTATGAGGTATAGCCTTTGAACCGCCCCGGACATCCATGTGGGTTCTCCTTTAGCAATGACCCAAATGTTTGCTCCTCTAACTACCTCATCTTTACCTTTGATAAGGCTTTCTACCACTGCCATCTTTTTCTCTCCCCGTGTCTTATTTTTCTCATATACTGTAACTATGTCACCTACTTGTACAGGCTTTGCGTCATCACTTACCTTGTTGTAGTGAAACTCGCGCAAATTAGTCAAGTACTCATGCCTCCACTGATTCCAAAGGTGTGCTAACCTAACACTCAAATACCTGAATCTCCTAGTGTATCTACTCTGACCTTCCTCCTCGTCCTCGATGATTTCGTTCGGCATTGCCTTGATTCTCTGTCCAAACATCAAGGGGGAGGGTGTTTAAATTTTCTACCCTTCCTTTTGGTAGTCATAGGTTAGTGCTCGAAAGTTCAAAGTTCCTTCCACTTCGATCAACACAGTGAACAGTTCGTTGAAGGTCAATCGTGCAGTACCTAACACCTTACGCAAACAACGTTTCGCACATTCCACCATCCGCTCAAAAAACCCTCCCCAAGGAGCTCTCTCCAAGGTAAACTTCCACTCTGTTTTCTTAACTGAAAGCTCTCTCGTCACTTCGGGGTGGTCGTACAGTTTCTTAAGCACTTTTTTTGATGCTTTGAAAGTCTTCATGTTGTCAGACACAATAAGGACAGGCGTGCCTCGCCGAGCTGTAAATCGCCTTAGAGTTTGAATGAAAGTTTCCGCCGACAAGTCCTCAACAAGTTCTAAATGTAATACTCTTGTCACGCAACAAGAGAATAGCGTGATGTACACTTTCTTCATCCCTCCAGTTGGCGCCTTAACGTACAGTGGCCCAGCGAAATCCATGCCTACGTTCCAAAACGGTTGTGCTTCCTTGACTTCAACTTCTGGCAACGCTGCACTGCGTGGTGCGCCATAGGCTTTTCCCTCTAATCTTTGCAGACTACACATCTACTCAAAACTTTCTTTACGCATTGCCGACCTTTCGGGACCCAAAACTTTGACCTCAGCTCCGCCAGAGTCTCTCTCACGCTGCCGTGTAGCACTCTATCGTGACATTCTCCTATTGTTTTGGTTGCGAAACAGTAAAATAATTGGCTCCTGTGCTTCCACCGCCAAATCCGAATTCGCTAATCTTCCACCGCATCTTAGAGCCCCATCGGTCTCCTTATGACCTAAGACGCCTTTTAAATTTGCAGAGGTTTTTTGGCACTTTAGATCTGATTGAATAAATAAATAAATAAATAAATTACTGTTTATTAAGACTCATTGCAGCAATATAAAGAATGACTGAATTGTAGAGCTATTTACAAAACATATAATACTAAAATATAATACAATAAATCCCATAAATACTAGAAGTATAGTTGTACAAGCCACTAGGTATACTTATGTGTGACAAACTCTTGCGTGCGCTTGTTCTACAAGAAGGACGCGTGCAACGGCTAATGTCAGATCTAAGATTATAATTATGGACAACCTCGTCCTTTTTGGGGAGCGTAAAATGAAAGGGGTGAATCTCATTCCGGTGTCTAACAATTTAAACCTGGCATAGATGGGCGCTTCTGTCACTTAGAGTTGTCAAATTAAGGACATTTAATGCCTTGGTGTAATTCATTAAAGGAAAAATGATGCACATAGCCCTTTTCTTAATGCTCTCAATCTTATAAGATATAAAATCTGGTATTTTGCCGGACAGGGGCAGCATATTCTAGAACAGGGCGAACAATGGTTGTAGAAACCTTAGCCAGTCAAGTTGGAGGCGCACCACATTGCTTAAGGACCCTTAAAGAGTAAAGCCTCCTGTTTCCTTTTTGGCCTCCTGTTTCCTTTTTGCACTGTAACTTCTACACGATCGTTCCATTTCAGGTCCATCGCTCTGACATGCACTCTTGCTAAGATGCTTGAGGGATTCATATGGGACTGCTTGATTACACAAGTGTCTCATCAGATCGACCCTCGTCATTTTGCTCGTGCTTGACCTTCCACCACTGACACGTTAGTCTATTTGTGCCTTCCTTACCCATTCTTTTTTAGCGATAATCAACTCACCTCTTTTTGTGCTGCCAGGCTTCAATTTTCAACAAAGCGTAACACCCATGCTGTTTCTCATCCTACCTTGACGATCGATGTCCACCACTCCTCAACTCCAATCATTAAGCATGCCTCCTTAACTTGCTCCTGGCTCTTTTTTTTTTGCAAGTGATAATTTGGTTTGCTGGCCACTTGCTCTCTTCTTCGCGCAGTCAGGGTGGCCCTTTCCACCAAAGTTCGGAATCTTTTAGTTTCGAGCCCATTGCTCCTCTTGAACCAATGTCAGCGGGGTTGTCCTCTCCCAGGCAACATCTCCATTCCTCTTTGCTTGTGAGTTTCAGAATCTCGTTCACCCTGTTTCTAACAAACTATTTCCACTCCCCCTGTTTTGAATCCAGCAAAGGCTTTCTTTACTGTGTTCATCAGTTGGGCTAAGATTCTTGTGGACATACGCTCTAGTCGGGAAATTGTCAGCGCTTTCAGCGGTGCAACCCTCGACCTTGAGGCTAACAGTCTTGTGTACATCCAGTCCCAAGTGCGGTAAACAAAATAAACAATAGCACAATACGCTCTATTACTCGCATCGCCGAAACCGTGCAGGCAGCATTTAAGCACTTCTTGTTTTCGACTATCGTCGAGGCACCTTATAACTGAAATCCCCTTGATATTAGATAGATCTAAAACCCATTCCCTCCATTTCTTTTCAGCTTTGCCTCCAAGTTTGTCGTCCCATCCCAGATTTTCGTGGCACAGCTCTTGAAAGAACATTTTCATGCAAACAGTGATGGGACGGATTAATCCCACGGAGTCAAACATGCTGGCCAAAATAGCAAGCAAACGTCTGTTTCTCGTTGAAATTTCTTGGGCTTTCGCGACAATTTTCTTAAGACAAACAAATTCCATCATTCTCAGAATCCCATGGGAGACCCAAAACCTTTGGCCGACCTTTGCTTAGTTCCGAGTCTAGCGTAAACTTCGCATACGTTTCCTCTTCACTTGTAACGCTTCCGCTTGCGGTTTCATGATTCTCTTCTGCATCAGTTAGGCCTTTCAACATCTTGTCATTAGTCATCCATTTTCGCAATTTGAAGCCCCCGCGTGCCACTCTATCCTTGGACTTGCCGTACAAAGAAAAGGCTTTAGTTGTGTCGTCTTCGCCGGTCACTAAATAGTCTACGTAGAAACTTTCTCTCATCTTTCTTACAAATCCTGGGTCTTCGTCCTTGTCCTTGAATCACGAGATGTGGTGTCTTAGCGTGGCATTCAAAAGGAATGGGGACGCGTTTAAACCAAACACTACGCGGCAAAATTGGTACACAGCAATCATGCTTTCGAAGGTGGTCGCGTTTTCCAGCCACAAAAACCATAGAAAATCCCTGTCTGCTTTGTCCACTTCTATGTTGAGAAACGCCTTATTTATATTGCCGACGAGCGCTACCCTCTTCTCTTAGAATGTAATCCAAATGTCGAACAATAAAATGGGTGAGGGACGGTCCCTTGTGTAAGCAATCGTTGAGTAATACTGCCCCCTTACCTGACTTTGCTGACACGTTATACATAACCCTGAGTTTGGTCGTGGTCGCTTCTTTGCGTATGACCGCTAAATGTGGGATATAGTAAACTCTATCTGACTCCTCTAATTCTGCCACCCTTTCTATCACCCCTGAAACTAACTGTTCTTTAATAACTGAGTCGTACTCTTGCAAAACCTCTAGCTCCTTTCTAAGTTTCCTAACCTGTCCTTTCATACGTGCTAAACTAAACTCGTAATTGCTATCTAAGGAGTTGCGCCCTTCCTCCCACGGAAACTTCACTGAATACCTGCTTCCGTTGAAGGTGATATTATCCACAAATTCCTCATATACCCGGTCACTCCCTTTTATTCCTAGCGTTCCTAAGTCCCAAAGAAACTGGATATCTCTCTCAGCTAAATTTCCTGGCCTTGCACTGTCTGTTCCTACAAAATTTACACTGACTGCACGCTCTCTATCTGTAGACTGAGTATATCCCAGGGGACCAGAAATAACCCATCCTAAATGAGTTTCTATCGCTACGGGTTCACCTACCCCTCCCCAGACAACATTACCTGTTTGAAAGTGCTGTAAATAATCCGCTCCGATTAGGAGCGGATTATTATATCTATATCTAACCGATCTTCTACTATATCTAACTGATCTTCGTTTTGGGAAACATCAGAAAGCCATATGTTTGCCAAATGGGGATAATTGTTACGCACTATGTACAGGCGCTCGTTCAAAACTTCGGGAACAACAAAGGCCTCTATGAATGTTACATCTCGGCCCCCCACTGGGTTCAATGGCATTCCAACCACCTCCCTAAGGTTAGAACTTATTGCTCGCTGTTCAAAGGTGTAGACAGCGGGCCAGTGCCTTCGGACAATTTCTAGGCCGCACATTTTAGTTACGCGTGATGTAATGAACAAAGTATGGCTGGCTGTATCAAAAAGCACTCTTATTCGTGATCTGCACTTCCCAGTGACTTGGGATTGTGCTGTTTGTAGAGCAACGCTGTTTCCCGTTTCAATATGCATGCTGTTGCCCACTACCAAGTCTAAATTGCTAGGATTCCCTTCACTTTCTGGCGCTTTTCCCTCCCCGGTGGGGTCGGCACAACAAAGACATGAATGATGTTTTCCATTACAGTACTTACAAGTTATAGTGCTCTTACATTCTACAGAAAGATGTCCTCTCCTAATGCAATTAAAGCATCTATCATACTTAAGTACTTACGTTCCTTGACATTCTTGACTTTCTGGGAGTCCTCGTGTCTTGCCCGCTGTAAATGGGTTTCATGTTCAGCAAATCGTTAACGTACACTCTCTGGATGGCCGCCGTTTTTCCATAGTGTTTCTTCAGAAGTTCTGTCGCTGCTTTGTAGTTTGCCGAAGTGAGGGAAAATCCTGCTATTGTTGACCTCGTCGGCTCAACGAGAAGGCCTCGCAGATAGAAAAACATTGTCGACTTTGGCCAGGGTCGCATTCTTGTCAATGGGGCTCTCAAAGGAGTCCCAAATCTCCTGCCATTTGCTGATGTTGCCTCCAAACTTTCGAACTTTGAGTTTTGGCAGTTTTGCTGGTACTGGGGCGGTCTGGTGACTCTGTCGAGCTGGTGGATTTTCTTGTATTCCGAGACTACTTGGACTGGGCGGTAATGCTGGTACGTGATGCATATCGACCAAACGTTCTTCAATGGCCGACAGTCTCACTTTCACAGCAAACTTTACTTTGTTAGTTTCGAGCAACTCTGCGGACATATTCTCTTCAGTGATGCCGTCATCAGCCTCCATCAGCTCCAAAATTCGTTTGTTCAAATTCTTTAGCTTTTCTTGATGGTCTTGGAGGATTTCCTTCCACTGAACAACGCCATTTTTTCGTTCCTCGGTGTACCCTTCGAGGCGTCCATCTACGTCATTAAAAACCTGCGTCAGGTAACTTTTGTGGGCCGCTCTTGACTTTTTCTTGTACATACATACATACATACATAAGCTTTATTTATCCTCGGATTTCAGTGTTA